CAAGAAAATCATGAAAAACAAGTCAACAGCTTGCTAAAGGAGACCCAAAAAAATACTGAAGAAAATACCACCTTAAAAAATAGCCTAACCCAAATGGCAAAAGAGGTCCAAAAAGCCAATGAGGAGAAGAATGCCCTAAAAAGCAACACTGGCCAAATGGAAGAGGAAATCCAAAAGATTACTGAAGAATATACTTCCTTAAAAATCAGAATAGAGCAATTTGGAAGCTAGTGACTTTATGAGAAATCAAGACACTGCAAAATAAATCCAAAAGAATTAAAAATTAGAAAACAATGTGAAATATCTCATTGGAAAAACAACTGACCTGGAAAATAAGTCCAGCAGAGAGAATTTTAAAATTATTGGACTATCTGAAAGCCATGATCAAAAAAAAGAGCCTAGACATCATCTTTCAAGAAATTATCCAGGAAAACTGTCCTGATATTTTAGAACCAGAGGGCAAAATAGAAATTGAAAGAATCCACCAATCTCCTCCTGAAAGAGATCCCCAAAGGAAAACTCCTAGGAATATTGTAGCCAAATTCCAGAGTTCTCAGGTCAAGGAGAAAATATTACAAGCAGCCAGAAAGAAACAACTCAAGTATTGTGGAAACACAATCAGGATAACACAAGATTTAGCTGCTTCTACATTAAGGGACCGCAGGGCATGGAATATAATATTCTGGAGGGCAAAGGAGATAGGATTACAACCAAGAATCACCTACCCCGCAAAACTGAGCATAATCCTGCAGGGGAAAAAATGGTCATTCAGTGAAATAGAGGACTTTCAAGCATTCTTGATGAAAACACCAGGGTTGAATAGAAAATTTGATTTTCAAATACAAGATTCGAGCGAAACATGAAGAGGAATTCTGGTTGAACTTGGACTGAGGGCCCTTGGAACCACCCTGGACTCTGGTTGGTATTATAACATTTATTAAAATAATGCTATGGGTTAATAGAAACAGCAAAGAACCAAAGAATTAAAATGCAAGCTATGTAAAATCCCAGCTAAAACTCGAATGTGTCTAATGTATTCATTCAGTAGTTAATTAAAAGCCCAAGAAAGACAACCCTCTCAATATAATAAAGCACTGCAAAACAATTGGCAACTTTCAGTTTAAAAAAAAAAAAAAGAAAGAAAGCTCTCTGCCTCCTCTTAGCACTTGCCTCCTACCTCCTACTACTTACTTCACTTCTCCCCGATTCAAAACCCTCTGAAATCTGTCTTCATCATTCAACTGAAATTGCTCTCTTCAAAGTCATCGATGATCTCTAATTGTCAAATCTAATGGCCCTTTCCCAATCCCCATGCTTCTTGACCTCTCTGTAAACTGACGCTGACAGCCAAGCCAACCTCTTCTCCTAGATTCTCTCTGCTATTCTCCCCTCATTCTCCTACCTGTTTCACCACTCCTTTCACTCAAGTCATACCCACTGACTGTGGGAGTCCCCCAAGGCTTTGCCTGGGGACCCTCTTTTCTTCTCCCCCTTGACTATCTCACCTGAGAATCTCCTCAACTCCCAGGCATTCAATTGACATTTCTATGCAGACCATTCCCAGACCTTGAAATCCAGCCCTAACCTCCTTGGGGGCAGCAACCTAGTGAATCATAAAGGCAGAAAACCTGGATGTCAGTCCATGTTCCAATCTTTATCAGATCTGATAATGGCTAAGTGATTACACTTGTTTTTTATTTTGTGTTTAGTCCTGGGTGCCACGTTTGAGGAAGGAAATTATAAACCTATTAAGAGGAGAGTGACTAAAATGATGAGATTAAAGAACATGCCATAGGAACTTCCTCTGAAGGAACTGAGGATGTTTAGCCAGGAAAAGGGAAGATTTAGAGGGGGACGTGTCAATACTCTATCAAGGCAATGGAATTATTCTGGTTGGCCGCAGGGGAGGGGAACTAGAAATAATGGTGAAAGTTACAAAGAAGCTACTTTAGACCCGATGTAAGGAAAAACTTATCAACGAGAGGGATCCTAGGGTAGAGTGAGCTGCCTGGGAAGCCTCTCTTTGTTAGAGGTCTAGCAAACGACTGATAACTTCTTGAGGGCAACAATGTAGAGGGAATTCTTGATCAGGCACGGACGGATACAAGCGACTTCTAAGGTCCTGTCCTGAAATTCCGTGATCTATAAAATGATGAAGGTAATCCTGGCCCATCGGGCTTGTTATAAGAGAAGCACTTTGCAAACCACAACACTCTATATGAAAACGTGAGCTTTTACTGTGGTCACTGCTATCAGCATCACCCCATTCCTCCGATCTTTGATGGGAATTTGAAAGAAACTGTCTGGAGACAAGTCACTATTCTTCTATATTTGGGGCTCCATCTATCATACAGAAAATTGAAGGTGACTTTCTTTTAGTCGAACAAAAACCCTAGGCTGTAAGCGTATCTTCTGTAGGCTCAATGAACGCATCCCCAGCCCAAGCCCAACAACAGCCAGGACAAGAAGGATGACACGGACCTCATCTCCTTCCCACGTGATTTTCTCCCCCTTAACCGGAGAGTCCTGTGTTTTGAAAACTTTTTATTCCATGGAGCTGGAGATGATGAGTAACAGAGATAGTGACGTCTACTAAAAATGCTCTTGGGTTTTTTTAAAATCAACGTTACACCTGGGGGATCGTGGGCAATGGTTATGTCTGCGTTTTTGGTCTGACTAGAGTTTTGTTGCCGCTGTTGTTACTGGGTCATTCTCAGTCGTGTCCAACTCTTTGTGACCCCATTCAGGGCTTTCTTGGCAAAGACACCAGAGTAGCTTGCCGTTTCCTTCTCCGGCCCATTTTATAGATGAGGAAACTGAGGCAAAAAGGGTTGAGTGACTCGTCCAGGTTCATCCAGTTAGTAAGGGTCTGAGATTGGATTTGACTTTAATTTTTCTGGGTCCAGCAGTCTACTGCATTATCCTTCTTTTTACACTCACACACACACATCCGCAATTTCTACAAGTCCCTACACAAGACTCGTGTGCAAGAGATCAAGTCATCAGTCTACATCTGTCCTCTTTATGGAGCTATCAATTACTGAAAGAAAAAGCATGACCAGAAACATTGTCATTAAAAAGAGAAAGAGAGAGAATAAAATCATGGAGAGTCATCTGGAAAGTTTTGCACTCACCTTGAACAAGGCACGAAGGGAAAAGGGCAAACCATACAAACAGGTGTCCCTTTGAATGCTTCGGTGTGATAAGTGTGAGCACAGGAAATCGGTCTCTAGGGGCTGCAGATGGTCAGCCTTTTGGATGCGTGTGCAAATGCCTATTGTGCAAACGAGGCCTCTAAGCAAGGTCCTATTTTTAACAAGGGCCTTGTCGATTTTCCCATAATGCTTAAAGCTGGACACATCCCATGACAGCGCCGCTGAACGCATTTTTCTCACATCTGGTTCATATTTGCTCTTTTTCAGGTTCCAAAAACAACTGTCTCCAATGGATCAGGAAAGCAGGGGGCCATATTCACTTCTTGAAAAAGCAAAGCCTTTTGGGTGATTTCTCTTCTCTGATCTGTAAGGTTAAGTTGAGCCATTTCCTTCCTTAAAGCACCCTCCAAAAGAATTTGGAGAATTCTAGCTGTGGGCAGCTAGGTGGTGCAGTGGATGAAGCACTGGGCTTAGAGTCAGGAAGACTCTCTGAGTTCAAATCTGGCCTCAGACACTTCCTAGCTGTGTGACCCTGGGCAAGTCACTTTACCCTGTTTGCCTCAGTTTCCTCACCTGTAAAATGAGCTGGAGAAGAAAATGGCAAACCCCTCCACCAAGAAAAGCCCACATGGGGTCATGAAGAGTCAGTCATAAATGACTGAACAACAAGTAGAGAGTTTCAAGAAAGAAACACAAGTAGGTGCCTCCTGCCTCTTTTTTCTAGGGGAAAGTTCTTCTTAATCAGGTACTTATATATAGAAAATTCTATCCAAGAATGCCTCAAAGACCTTACCTTGTACTTGGGGGAAAAAAGGATAAATAAGATAAACAAAATTAAACAAAATCATTTCTGAGGGAAGAAACGCTACAGCTGGATTGGGTTCCATTTAAGAAAGAGCACCTGAGGCTGAGCCTTCAAAGAAACCAAGGATAGCCTGAAGAAGGAATGCCATTTTCTTGGGTGTACCAATCAAGACTACATCTGGTGCCATTTCTAAATCTTTCTGCAGGAGTAGGGGAAGAGAATAAGCATTTATATAGCACCTACTATGTGCAGGGCACTGTGCTAAGCACTTTATACATATTATCTCACTTGAGTGGTAGAGGAGCTGCTGCTCTGCCATCCCTCCCACTTAGAATGCTGTATTCCAAGATTGTCCCTCTTTATGATAGATGTGGCAAGATCTTATCCTGACAGGGACTTCTCGGTTCTTGAATTCTTGGATTGTTGCTTATGGTATTTTTTCCCTTTAACTTGGAAACTATAATTTTGGAAACAACATTCCTGGATGTTTTCAATTTGGGGTTTCTTTCACGAAATGATTGGTAATGTTTCCCCCTATTTTTACTTTGCTCTCTGTCTCAAATAGTTCAGAACAGTTTTCTTTCAAGATTTCTTCAAATTTTACATCCAAGTTTGTAGCATGGTTATGGTTTTCAAAGAGTCTAATAATTCTTAAATTCTCTTCAACCTGTTTACCAATGAGTTTTTTTAATAATAGATATATGATATATTAAACTTTCAATCTTTTGACTTTATTCTAATATTTCTTGTTATCTCAGGGAGTTACTGCTGAGGTGTTTGCTCCATGTTACTTTTCAGGGTGTCCATCACTTAGGTAAAGTTTTCTGCCTTATGTTCTAAACTAATTCTCTTTCCATTTTTTTCCCTTCAGAGCTCTTATTTCACTTCTGATTTTACTTTTCATCTCTAACTGCTGTGTCCCCAGCCTGAGCATTCCATGAGGGCTCCTCCCTTGCATGTTCTCATTCAATGCACCGCCATCTTGAATCCCAAGCAACAGAAAGAGAAATGTGAGATGACTCAACAGTAGCATTTCTTACCTGCCCCTTTCGACCGCTAAGGCATCAAGCTCATCGAAGAAAAGAATTGATGGGGCCACTGCTCGAGCTTTCCTAAAGATCTGGAACAGATATTCCAATGAGCTGAAATATCAAGCTACAACAGCAGATGTTCCAAAGCACTCACATTCCTCCACCCACCATCCTGAAATTCACACACACACACACACACACACACACACTCACAGCCTAGCACATAATAGGAAATGAATAAATGCTTGTTAGAGCTAGCCTTTAGCACGAGAA